ACTGTTATCCATCGCATCAAGCCACCATATTTGACTTCCTCTCTATTGCGTGGTTTGTAATGACTATATTTTTTATTCTCATTCTTAGAAGAATGGGAATCAAACGGGGGCTTAGTGTTATTTACTTGTTCCCCACTGAGAATTCTTACTGGTTTACCATTTTTTTCCCATTTTCATTTCTTATTAATGTCATTGTTTATTGTCATCGTGAATGTTGCAGAGGAATAAACGGGACTTTTTTGTTTTTCTCTGCTTGGGGACATCAACAGCATTTATTAGTGGGATTGTTGCTGTTCAAAGTATGTCAGAGCAGCTAAACTTCTTTTTGCTGTTAGTTGTAGAAATTACTCCCCAACCTTTCATATGATTGGAAGTTGTGTAATATGGCAGGAATTTGGACATCTGTACCAGCATTGGCAAGTGGAGAAACATGGCTGCATCACACGATTTTTAATTATCCTGGGATTATTTCTTTCCTGGTCATGGATGCAGCTATCTTTATTGCTGCTGCAACTTTATTGACGGTTCAAGCATCCCAGGTGAAGTATATGCCTTTTTTCTTCATTTCATTTCTCTTTCCGATCACAGTTGAAAAGTTGACATTTGGTTGTTTGCTTAAAGATTTAAGCACATTCATGTTTGTTTTTGAATGTTTAGAGCATGTTTAGCTAAGGTTAAAAAGTTTAGTTACATGTAAATTTACTTGTAATTTTATTAATGGGTCAAAGTCCCTGTCTTTGCTACTCGGTGAATATCATTCTCTTTGGTTCAGAACACACTCGAGGAGTCATCTTTGAATTATACATTGCATGGTTACACACGCTTTAACTCTTTAAATTGCAGATTGCTCGGAACATCACTACAAATGAATTGGCAAATGCTATACGTTATGGATATCTTCGTGGTCCAGATGGGAGGTTCCGCAACCCATATAATCATGGGTGCAGGAAAAATTGCTCGGATTTCTTCATAAATGGCTACACAGATGATGATGAGATTGCTTGGCCTCCTTTGCAACAGGTTGCCAGGTAGTACATACATATTCTTGCAAGACATTGTAGAATCCCTTGTGTTTGGGAACATGATTACACACAGATATATCCTGTAAT